TTTGTTAATCCGGACCTGGAATTTTCTTGTGATTAGTATCTTGGGTATTCTGCGTTCTGAATGAGACATATATGTGTACCAACTAACAAAAAATATATAAGGTGATTGTAATTTATGTATTCAAACAGCAATAAGACACACTGTACCTCGGCTATATAAACCGTTAGAGCCAATAAATTTGGTATATCTATTCACCGTTTAAGTATTTCCGTTTCACAATTAAACACCCTGTATAATTAACGCTTCATATATGCCAGAACTCCCAAAACTACAAAATCTTATTAAATTATTTAAATTTTCATCGAATAATGATGGCGGATACGTCATTTGCTGATTATAACGCCAATATAATATGATTTCAGATGTGTGGGCTTGTTTCGGATGATTACACTCACAGCGTATTTATTATTTTTTCGCAAATAATACCCTTCTGATTATTAAATCAACTCGTGTGACAGACGATATTTTTTCTTGATAATCGTACATTATTTATGAAAAGAAAGCGGCCGAACACCGTTGGGCTTGGTCTGGTTGCCGGTTCTCGAGATATACCTATATATGTATACACGCGTACGTAACCGATTTTGACATTTCCGACTAATGGAATCAACATGAAATAACATAATAATAAAGTGCTTTATTTATATACCATTCGAGTATCTTTTTTTACGGGAAATTGTACGAATCAATCGTTTTCGACACAAGGAACTAACTTTGTTACGCTCCAATTTGTTTTGCTAATGTATTCCTGACATTCTGTAGGTATTATTTGACGAGTTTTTAATACAATTAGAACCACAACATAAAAACTGTATTTCCTTCTAGCTGTCATTTACTAAAATTTTAATTTGTTTGATTTATACACCAGGACTGATAAATGGGAAAAAATATGATAAAGATAATTTGTGATTTGATTAAGTTAAGGTAAAATATTTGCTAGAAAGATGATGTTAGTAGAGTGTTTAAATTAAAATTCCTTTTTTGATAGATAATAGGGATACTAGGCAAATATGCACAGAGGATATTTGGCATATTTTATGCCACAGTTAGCTTAAGGAATATGGCAAGACAAAAAAGTACGTATTCCTCAAGTACTCAGCGGATAAGACTTAAAGAGCAGCAGCTACATCGTTATTAGAGATTGTAATTGCTGGATCGAGCATCCAGCAAACCATGCTGGATCCAGCAGCGCGGATCCGCAAACGTGTCAAATTCGAAATAAGTTACTTCATGTCTTCATTAGCCTCTTCATTCAAAGCTGTGAGTCGGCAACTTGCCATTCTATCGCGCTAGCAGTGCGATTGAACTGCAACATCGGGTCGCCCTCTCTCTCGACTGCACCGCCTACGCCTACCCATTGACTCAGCTAAGACCTCTTCTATTTGTCTAATTTTTAGTTGACTTTCTGTCCCCGCCAGTAAAAGTGTTTTCATGCCTAATAAGTGCCTATCTCAATCTGCTGTACTGCCGTGTGTGTTGTTTGGAAACTGAATGGTAAGTAATTTGACCAAATATCTAATAATTTAGCATAATTTATGATGAGAACATCACTTGATGATTTATGTAAGTTAATTGAATAAGGACCGCCAGTCAATCGTAAACACTTTCTTCTTAACTATCAACACCGATCTTATCACAGTGCGAGTGGGATCAATTACAAACATATTTATTTTTGGCCATTTTACAGCAATTTTTCGCCAACAGCCCTTTTTCTTGCGGTGGACATGATATCTAGGTCTAGCTTCATCTAAAATCAAAAAGTCAAAAATTTTCTTATAGTTTATAGCTCTGGCTAGTAAATACACGAAGCAACTAAAGAACAAACGAAATTTGAAGGTTCTACATAAGTTTAAACACATTTTCGACCCCAATTTTTACTCATTTTTTTTTTCAATTTGACCATTTTTTTTTTTGTATAAAACAAAAACGACTTGACCTAATGAAAATTGCTTCGTTTATTCACTAGCCAGAGGTACAAACTACAAGAAAATTTTTAATTTTTTGATTTCAGATGAAGCTAGACCTAGATTCATGTCCACCGCAAGAAAAAGGCTGTTGGCGAAAAATTACCGTGAAATTAACAAAAATGAATATTTTTGGCTGAAATTCTTTTTTCAGAGTACTATTTTCAGAGTAGTTTTTTTACAAGTACTATACTTTTATATGTATTAATTACAAATAAAAATAATTTTTAGTTTTTGAGATATAATTTTTTTAAAAAGTTGTTTTTTTATACCCTGACGACCTATGTAACCCCTTAATTTTTAGTTTTTTTTTTCAATCAAAGCATTAATATAACTCGTGCAGATAAAGAAACAGTCTATAAAGAGCTGTCGGTGGTCATGCTTTTTCGCTCCCACTAAGACTAAGGGAGGGCGCCCACCAAACTGGCGTAGCAAGTAGCACGTAGCAAGTAGCACGCGTCTAGCATGTTTCTTAAAATGTAACCAATGAAAACGAATGATTAGAATGAATGACGTCACTGTCATTTTGGTGTGCTCTGAATTATTCGTTTTCATTGGTTACATTTTAAGAAACATGCTAGACGCGTGCTACTTGCCACTTGCCACTTGCCACGTGCCACGCCACTTTGGTGGGCGCTCTCACTAAGGCTCACACATATCAGGCGTTCTTGTTTTCTCATTCACGCTCACGTTCAGATAGCCGTTGCCATTTACAGTTTGTTTCTTTATCTGGACGAGTTATACCTACACCTTATTTCACAGACGTTTTTTTTTTGCTTTCAGATTTAATGCTGCTCCAGTTACTCCAATATTAATTAAAATGGCTCTTGAGGACGATAAAAAAAAATTGTAGGACTTTTTCACAAAACTGGATGAGGGGCGAAGTGCAAGATGTTCTTTATCTTAAAAAAAATTGTTTATTACCAACCGCTCAACAACAGGCTTAAAAGGACATCTGAAAAATATACACAACGTCTCTTCTTCAAGTTCCAGCACCAGCACCATTATATCAGCTCCCAGTGCCCTCAAAGAAACCTCGTCAAAAAATGAAGATAATCAGGAAGTAGTTTCGAACAAAAAGTCGAAGAAGACTATTGATTCCTACTTTGAAAGAGAAAATTCTATGGAAGATGTGGTTACATTGCTTACATGTAAGTAATGTTTTGTTTATTTACTAATTTATTACAATTCAATAGGCTATTTTTATACCAATTTGTGGGTCTTACTTTGTCTGCTAAAACAATTTATGTCATGGTATGTGCTTGTATGACCACTAATGGAGTTGGACGTTTAGCAGTAATAGAGGGCAATATTAATGCCCTAATTAAAAATATCAAAAAGAGATACTGTAAGCCAAACTGCTGCCGACTATCAGAGATTTGTTTGCAGGGGATGCCTGCAGGGGATGATAACAGCACTCAGCCTTCGGCTTCGGCTGCTACCAAGGAACGAGCTTTCGATTGTCATGAAATTATCTCGTCTGTTATCAATGTCCTAGGGATATTACTGCTGATAATAACCATTGTACCATTTTTTTACATATCTACTAATAGCTAACGGCTGTTGTTTTATTTATTTTAAAATTTTTAAAGGGTTTCTCCTCTTAAAATAGACGTTACAATATTAAGAAGAAGCTAAAACGATGCAATAAAATTATAGATAAAGTTATAAATAACATAAGTCTTGTTAAAAAGAGGAACGCTGATAACAAAACTAAAATTTTTTGTAAAGTTTCCAGAATTTTGGCAACTAGTGTAGAAGCTACGATTCATTGGCTTCGCCGGTCATGCGGTTTTAATTCTTTTTTAAGCTAGCCTAAGCCAAGCTAAGACTAATTTTAACCATTTTTAGATTATGCACACTCAATCTACGGGTCTATAAAAATACAAGTTTCTTGGGGGCAGGGGTGGTGGTAGGAGGGTGGGGGCTAAATTTGCTCTGAGCCTTATTTTTTAATCACACAAATTGTAAAAAAATTAAAAAAAAATGGATTCTGGGAGTGAAGACATTTTCCCCTTTTTTTTTTATATGTGATACCCTTTGTGATAACTGCTTTATCCCATCCCCATATAACCCATATATAAATTTTGGTAAAACCCATTCCAAAAGTAGGTAAAAAAATTCCATTTCAATTCATCCAGTAATTTTGATTTTATTTTGCTTACGTTACGTGAAGATGTTTAGCATCCGATAAATGTTTGTTTTTAATCAGATCCTGAATTTTATGAAAAAACTTAGTCAACTTTCACCAATTTACGATACACGTAAGTGTATACAATTCCTAAAGTTCTAAAATAAAAACAACTAGTCGCCTCATTTAGAATCAGTACAGAGTAAATAAACGGTCTGTACTTTAGGAAGATATCCTCGATGTCAAAGAGTCGTTTAAAAACAAGGGCGTCGTTGTCATTATAAAGAAAGAACTCTACACAAAGCGAGGTTCTCAAATTAACTCCTAGTGGTTGTTTTATCGAACAAACGGGTAGACCATTAAAATGTACATAATAGCGCCCAAGAAAGCAAATACAAAAACACAGACGCTAAATATACACTTTTTATTTCAGAAAGTGAATCTTTAATTAATGATCAATTTAAAATAACTAAATTACTTCAAAAATAGTAGATCAAGGATCAATTGGATATTCTTGAATGCGAAATATCAACAAAAGATAAAAAGAAATAATTAAACCAAAATAGTGAAGATAAAGAAGGATATAAAATATATAACGCAGAAGTCGTTATAGGCCAGTAAAGAAAAACAACAACCGAAAAAATCTTATACAGGTTTTTGAAGGTTCTAAAATGCATATGATGCATAGATGATGTCAAATCCTTAAAGACGTAGAGCTGACATTGCCTTTTTTTGAATAATCATATAAAGTGAATCATTTTTTTGTGTATACATGTAATTCGCACAGTACTGTTTTTACAGTACTGTGTAATTAGAATTAATGAAATCACAAGCTGTTTTAATGAAAAAACAGTTTATTTAAAAATATGTTTTTTAACAAAACTATAAAAGTAAACTTACATAATTTAGCAGGAAATACGAGTATGTTCCCCTTAGGTTACAATTACTACTTTTACCCGTTTTGGATAGATAGATCTATGAGCTTCTGACAGTTCCCAGATATCCTTTCATCTCGAAACCAAACCTGACTGACGCAATGTTCATTTTGAGGAAAAGGAAACTGATTTTTATTTCGAATAGGATGAACATGAATGTGTGTGTACCCGTTTAGGATCTTTTGATTCTCTCCAGGTTAGCTTTGAATGTGTTGTTTGTTGTAAAAAGCAAAACAGTCCGAAAAATAAACTGTGGTAGAGCATCTTGGCCGCTGAGAAACCAAACCTGAATGACCACTTCTATTATTTTTATTTTTGTAGTACAGTAGATTTTGCGCAGTCTACCTTTGCAAATGGCCCCTAAATTTTCAATTGGGTTGAGGTCTGGCGAATTACCGGGTAAATCTAAAACATTACTCTTCTTATTCTTGAAAAATTCCATCATTTGCTTTGACTTGTGACAGGAGGCAGAGTCCTGTTGAAGAATCGCTCCTCGTTGGGGCTGACATTTTTGGAGTTCTGTGTCCAAACGCTGCTCCAACATGACTTTGTATTTTTGGCTGTTCATCACGCCTTCGATTGGTATCAAAGATCCAACCCCTATGTATGAAAAACATCTTCAAAACATTTTTTTGGCTGGATATTTTACGGTTTGATCAATGTGAGATGGTGTAAGGTTTTCATTGTCAGGATTCCTGACGAACTTTGACCTATGTCCGCGAACTATACAGTAAGTTTCATCTGTAAATAGGACTTTTCTCTAGTCGTGTATAGTCCAATTAGATTATTTTTGGCCCACAATAGCCTTTGTTTCTTCATTCGTTCAATTAGAGCTGTTTTTTCTGTGGGCGAATTGCCCTTTTACCATACTCCAAAAGTCTTTTCCGAACAGTTCGGAATGTTCAATTTGCTCTTTCAAAGTAAAAATCTCTGTAAATATTGAAAAATGTCACAATCATTCCATTAATTCGCACAATACTCTTAAATAGAGTTCTATTTCTTTACCTATCTGATGAACACTTGGCGTTTAAAATAATTTTAATCAGGTTACCAGGTATATTACGCTCCATATTTTTCTCAACACACCAAATAAATTTTGTGTTCTGTTTACACTGCTGAGAGCTTTTTGATTTATCTATATGGAAACATGTATATTTTTTGTTTTCATATATTTATTCGACATCATAAACACTCTCTATAGAAGCATAAACCCCTAGATAACAAATAAACTTTCTGATTCTAGATAATATAAAAATAGGATTTACCTCTCCACATTTCGTGCCGCTACTGCTGAAATCTTTCTTCTATCAGATCTTTGTTGTTGTTTTTATGTTAGGGATTAAGAAAGCATTACTAAACACGTGTTTTTTTTAAACAAACATATCGTAAGTTTAGTACCACGATAAAATATACAAGTTATTCTTGTCTCTACCGATTCTGACCTCAGCTTTACTTTTTTCACGAAAGGAGAATAAAAATTAAAATACTAATTGTATATATTAGGCTACTGATTATGTACTTTAGAAATGAACTACATCGTTAAAGGGGTTACATTGTTTCATACGATCATTGGACCCCCAAATATGAACAAACCGCGGAGTGATATAATATAAGGGGGTGTATTTGGGCGAATTCTATGCAGTTTTCGTACATATATACCTACAGACAAGTTGATCAAAATTTAATTTCTTATTAAAATGTCACTTTTTAAAGTAAAAAATATTTTTTTTACAAAAATAAATGCAAAAAACGAAGCAAAATAACAGAAACATACGCGATTTTCCTTTTTTGTCCCACAACTTTTTTCCACGGTGGAATAGGTATAGACATCTCGCATTGCTTTGTATAAATGAAATTTTTATCCATCCTCTTCAAAAAGAAGTCTTTAGGATTCAAAGTAGCCGAGATACGACTTTTTAAAGTTCGCCACTCGCACCATTTTTGTACCTTTTTTTGTATTTTTTTTTTAATTGTTCTGTAACTCTTTTATGATTATACCTACACCCCTATGGAAACAAGTTATGGAACAAAAAAGCAAAATGGCGGTGGTTCTGTTTTTTTGTTTGGTGTTTGCATATATTTTTGTCAAAAAAATTATTTTTAACTTTAAAAAGTGACTTTGAAGAAATTAAATTCTGAACAACTTTTTTGTAAATGCATATATACGAAAACTGCATAGAATTAACTCAAATGCACCCTTTTTTCATAAACGCACCCCTTTAAATGATAGCACTCCGCGGTTTTTTCATACTTGGGGGTCCATTGACCACATGAAACAATAAAACCCCTTTAACGTTGTAGTTCCTTTTAACCAGTTCCTTTAGTTCCTTTTAGATTTTTCGTGTAGCATTTTAATGTTTTTTACTATCTTTAGTCATATTTACTATCTTCATAGCAGAGAAGATTGCTGGGAATGAATTATTAGAAAACGATAACATCGAGGAAAGCTAGGAAAAATTTAAAAATAACATAATTAACGCAGCAACAGAATGACTTTGAGAGAGAAAAGTAACGAACACTAACATATCAAAACAGAAAACCCTATCTACAGAAAACATGTACAATTTAAAGCGTCGAAGTATCATTATAATCAATATCACTGCCCACTGTCGTCGAAAACTTCTTTATTACTACACACGACGATGCCAAGATTCGACGTTGTTCTTCTTTGCTTGACATCTACAATTCTACAACATTTAAAAGGGATAAGTGCGTCTCTTTTGTGCTAATAGTAATTTATGAGTTATGCCAATTGAATTTTTTCTTTACAATCATATTCATTTCATTTATTACGGCTTTAATTAACCAGCTAACTCTATATTTCCTATATGAACGGTCAGCATTAAATTAGCCCAACACCTAATGTCAACATAAACACAATTTTTTAAACAACATATCTGTTTGTGTGTGTGTGTGTGTGTGTTTGTGTATTTGATCGAAAAGGTAGTAAGTAATAGGAATTTATACAATACATCAAGTTGAACGTACGCGCTTTATTTATGTTTAAAATTCCAAGATATATTATAATGCGTGACTTGGTGTTATCACGAAGCAATTTGGAAAAATTGGACGAATCATGTTAATGATTTATTATACATAAATGTTAAGGTTTTTTAATGTTGTCAAATCACTTATTGCTTTAATGATAAATGTTTAATTGCATATTTTTTAGCACAAACAGGAATAAAATAAATATAATTATATACGTATATTAGAATCAAATTAGATTAAACAAAAATCAAATAAAAGAAAAACACATAGAATGGGATAAATAGAGTAAAATCCTAGTTCACGAAAATGTTATGAAAAAAGTACTTTGACAGTTTACTAAAAGACGCATTTCACATAAAACCAGTTCAGCCAACGAAAACAGTAATGGTCACCAAAATAACAAATAATGAAGTTTGAGAGAGAGAGAGTAATTGATAACCGGATACGTGAAAAAATCGCAAAATCCGATAATCAAGTTTGGTTTTATGCAATGCAGATCAACAACAGATGTAATTTTTACTATAAGGCAACTAATCGAATAATACAGAAGCAAACGGTCATATGGTACATTGATCTTGAGATAGAGTTCCTCAAGAGATTCTGTGGTGGGCGCTGAAAAAGAAAACAGTTTCCGGAAAGTATGTGAAGGTTGTGAAAGGCATGTATGAGGGAGTAATAACTAGTGATAGGACAGATGTATAAGGGACTGATAAAATTTAAGTATGTGAAAGTCGGATTGCATCGGGGCTCAGTGCTTGGTCCTCATATATTCTCATTAGTTTTGCATCAGATAACGGAGAAACTACAGGGTAACATTCCATGGCCAATTAAAGTATCCTGATTATGTAGGATTACTAGGAAATACTAATACTACTACATCAATATGATAAGTATATAACATTAATACATGTTAACATATCTAGAAGTGTGGTTTTTACTGTGAGACATTTAGTTTTGGAAACACGGAATTTTTGTTGTGTATATATATATATATATATATATATATATATATATATATATATATATATATATCATATGCTTTACATTTGATATGAGTTCACGAGAAATATGAGGAATGTGTACAAAACGTCCGATAAAAAAGATAATAAAATATAAAAAATCTTACCTGTGGTTTGAAAGCATTCGGAACACTTGGTGGTCCTCCATATTCATCCATTGGTGCTTGAAAAAAAAAAGTATGTCAATTTTAAACAGATAACTGATAATTGGATATATTATTGAGCAATAAAATATTTAAATGAGGTATAGCAGAAAATTGTAGTGACCAAAAGGTCTAGTAACCAAAGCATCAGGACACAAATTGGCTTGTTTACCAGTAGGATACACACATACATATATACGCGAATACAAATACTAAAAGCGGTACAGGTCACGATGGCTGGGTGATGTTGAAAGCGTAGCTTCCACTACTGAAGGCACTGCCAGAAACGGTTTGGTAGCTCCAAGGGATCATATCGCTTCGATCTCTTTGCTTGTTGGTTGTTTAGCAGATTATAAGCCAGGATGTTAGGATGCACGCGCAACCTGTTTTGATATTGTTCAAAAATTCTTTTGCACTCTACAGATACTGTAAGTATCTGCAGATCTCTATGTAATGCGTCATTTATCCATTGGTATATATTAGTAATCCATTTTTTTTATTTGACGTTAAAAGCTATCAGAAATATTAAAGCACAAATCTGTATTGTTTCCGCTTTAAAAAAGGTATGTTTACGCTAAAACTATTCAACCAATTTATCATTTGCAACTTTTTTTACAAAATGCATTTAACCGAAAGTGATAGGATTGAAATATTAATGATGATTAGTATTAGCGATAAGATGCGGACTCAATAAGAAGTATACCGATGATTTCATGAAAGGTTCCTAGATCGTGAACCTATTTCATAATCTACAGTAAGCAGAATATATCAAAAATACAAAGAATTAGGTCATGTGAGGGATGCAGCAAAGCATGGTAGGCCAAAATGAATGAAAATATTTAACAAGACATAATTTTGGCGCCAGTAGAAAATCCACACTGTACACTGCGAGAATTATCTAGGGATTTTGGTGTTGGAAAGTCTTCAGTATCAATTGTTTTTAAAAAGATAAAATACCATCCTTATAAAGTACGTCTTATCCAAGAATTAGCTGAAGACGACTTTAACCGAAGAACTGAATTCTGCGAGTATATGATAAACGAACCTATAGGTAATGGATTTTGAAAAGAGCTATGACCTTGTAAATATCAGGTAAACTTGTATGTCATCGGCATGACTCATAGCTCGTGTCAAAATCCATTACCTCTAACAATTTCATTGACGTTTTATTTTCGGACGAGGCAACGATTCTTTCGAACGGTCTTTGAACTTTTTTTGAACGTTTCTTTTGAACCGACTAAACACCCGTTATTGGTCTGATGAAAATCCAAATTGAATGCAAGTGTCCCATACGCAAAGACCACAAAAACCGAACATATGGGTTGGTATTGTGAGAAATATAATTATTGGTTCATATTTTTATAATGAAAATTTAACAGGACCATTATATCTGGATTTCCTACAAAATACATTAATTCCTGATATGATTCAGCTTTTTTCTGATATTTAAATACCCACTAATTTATACCGCAGAG